GAGCAGAACACAGATAGCCCATTGTGTAGCTTTGTGTTTAATTACAAACAAGCAAACAAACAAACTCACGAACAAAGTTCGTCCTCGTACCTTATGATAGGATCATGTGACGGCCTCACAGTGTCAGTTTGTTTCTGTAGTAAATTTTTTAAAAACATTTTTCGAGTTGAATTTGAACCACAGATCTCTCTCACACCAACTGAGCTAGTTCTTTTTAGTAAAGAACGTTTTAACAACTCAAACTACCACAACCGTAACGTTTTTTAATCATTAAGTAATTGTTATAATACTTTGACAAACAAATCAAATTAGTTCAGTAAAAAATATTTTTCGCAATAAGGTTCGCTAAATATCTATAAAACAGTGGAATGGTAACTGCCGTATAATAATATGACGAACATCAACACGATTATTTAATAGAAGCAAATAATAAAACGAATAATTACATTTAAGTAAAGAATCTGGATAATAATTAGGGAATAACTGGAAGGGGGTTACAGCCAATGGGTGTAAAAAATCAAAAGTTTTAGTCATCAGATTGATTGTCGCAAAAGCTATGGATCAACTCCTCAGCACAGTACCACATACCAGTCGATATTGAATAGCATTTTATGTTAGAAACAATGTATTGTTTTGTATGCACGATAGTTTGAAAGAAGGATGAATAGTTTACGGTATTCGTTGGATAGTGGGAAGCCAAGAGAGTTTAAACAGTTATGACTAGAGACATTTGATATGTTCTCTACTCTGTGTTACGAATATAAATAGTAGGATTAATTTCGGAAATACAAAAACTGCATCTGATCAATTTTCAGTCAAACGATGAAGATTCTGATAAAATACGTTTGGCTGAAAATGGACCGAATAAGTTTTGTTTGTCTTAGAATAAGTTAATTTTTTTTTCTGTTTTTTAATTTGAAACACTCGTGTTTTTTACTTTGTACGACAGCCAAAAAGATCAGAAAGTCGGCCAAATAAATCAATGACAATCAGTGTTAAACGAAACGTACGAATAATTTGGGTTTCAAATTTACAACATGATTGTTTTACAGGGTTTGATAAGGGTACATGTTAAATAATGTTCGAAATAAAATATTTGAATAAAATATCACCTAACTAAAAATTCAGAAACAGAAACACACCAAAACACCAAGATAATATGGCAGCACATCTGAAACATAATTCAAATAAGACTAACAAAAACATAACAGAACAATGTAAATTATTCAATGAGTAGCAGTTTCAAACCAATGATGGGCTAACTTACATATTCTCTGCCAACACCTACAAAATAGGAGCTTTGAGAGAATCTAGATCATGGAGGTTTTGTTAAATGCATTTTTAATTTTAATCTTTAATATATTGCATCATTGTATCGTAATAGCTGCAAAGTTAGTACATAAGAGAACATAACGCATAACAGAACAATATAAATTATTCAATAAGTAGCAGTTTCTCTACCAACACCTAAGCCTGACTGTCGGAAATTAAACTGACCAAATTATTTTGTCTTAAGTGTGATTGTAACAAACAAAATAATTTATTGTGAATGTTTAACTTTTTATAATTTTTTCTTGTGATTTTTTTTATACCAAAGGTTTTCTTTTTCACTTTTATATGTATTCCTGACAATATAATATATCAATGACAGTCCGCATATAAAGTCAAACTCACAGTACTTTGTTGATACAAAGATATTCTACTAACAGACCAACGGTTGAGACCGTCTTGATATAGTTCTTCCAAGTACTCATGTATTTACTTGATGGTCTAAATAATCAAATAATACAGTGTATCTAATACCAACTAAGTGTTTCGAATAAATCAAGTTTATTATATTTTGAATTAGTTCTGTTAATATTAGCTAATAAAGTTATTTGGATCCAAGTAAATTTATCTACACTTTTGAGTAAAAAGAAAAAAGAAAGTACTTAAGGATCTCCTTAACTATAGCTTATTAAAATGTTATCGATATGAATTCTGCAATAAAAACGAAAGTCACTTAAATTCGTGAAAAAACTAAGTGACTAATCGAGTTTTAAATATACTAAAAGTATTTTCAATTAGAGGTCGAAAAGTTGGGGTGAAGTATTACAACAATGGATGGACTTTTAAACATTTATTAATAAATTAATAAACATAATTTATTAACTATTTATATTTATATTTATATATTTTTTCGTAGAGCTCATAATAAAATTCAGGGAACTGCTATAATTTTCTAGAAATAAAAAGTAATTTAATGTCCAGTCATTTGTACAAGTGTATTGTGGAGGCAGAGGAATTCATGCCACATAACACTTTACTTATAATATTATCCTTATAACACTTGAATATAAACTGAATTTTAAACTAGGAGCTTTGGAAGAATCTAGATCATGGAGGTTTTATTATCACATTTTTTTTTTAATTTTCGACATATTGTGTCATTATATCGTAATAGCTGCAAAGTTAATACATAATTAATTCAACTTTTTATGTTAAGTTTGATTTTGATGGTACGATTATGCGAATAAACTATGAGCTCTTGAGCTTGAGTTCTACAATTAAAAGACCTTTGATGTTAACCTTTCTTGGTGAAACTACAGATATAAATAAAACCAATTAAAAACAAAAATCTATTTTTCAAAGTTACAGCAGTTCTTCTGTTTGTTATGTATGACGAATAAAATGTTTTTTAAGTTGTTTGCATTTTGACAGGTAAAATTCATAATGTTTTTCTCCTGCATATTTCATGAAGCTGTAACTAAATTTGTACATTAGAAATCATTGCCACAACAAGGAGCACTTATTAAGCTTCAGATTAATCACAAACTTTCAACCTTCATGATGTAAGGCGTGTTAAAAGAGCAGAAGGTTGCTCTTTGTATTGTTAGTAGCATCAAAACACTTCTAAACAGAATTCGAAATACTAGGGGGCGTCTATCAAATTAATTAAAGCATCTAAATGTATTAAGTCCTGTATAGTAGAAGTAGTGGAAAAATATATTAAAAATGATTTGAGAGAAGTTATAAAACGATTTTAAGGTCCCTTGGGTATTAAAAATGAAATCTTAAACAATGATGAAATGTTTAATTAGGTAGATCCCTGCTCCAACGATTTTTTTTTCGCTGACATAAAAGTCCAGTAATAAATTTCGGGAATTTATGTTTATTTATATAATCTGCTCACTCATATCATTATATATCAATAACCTTATGAATATGTTTGTGTCTATAAATATATGTAAGTTATTGATATATAACTTGTAGTGCTTAAAAGCAAGAATATTTCAATATAGTTTCTCTAAATGCCTAAACATAATATAAATAAAAATTAATTTTAATAATACAGCGTAATAAACTTTTGATTCTAATTTTAAAGCAGTCAGAATAAATTGTTGACATGAAGTGAAGCTAGAGTTAAAAAATAAGTAATCTAGCTTCGTGCCTACATTATACTAAGACTGAAATCTAAATGTGTAATTTAAAGTAAACTCCATATAATTAATGTGTCTAAAACTATTTCATTATTAGAACTCTTTTATTACTAAAAACCTTATTCATATTAAAGTTAGAATCTAAGATTATTTACAACTTTTAATTAATACATATTCTTTTTTTGCATATCTAGAATAAAATAGGTCAATAGCATTAATTGGATGTATTCCAAGATGTTCAGGCTATTGTCAACTGCGAGCTTCTTATTCGTCGAAACCTTTGTGTGGTTGAATCCGTCGATTAGTAGTGCTGTTTCTTCAGTATCAACTGTTATTCCTCTATCGGGTAAGTTTTCTCCCTCCTTTTTTTCATTCCTCGAGCTTCATAGTTATATGTTTAATGAAAGACATGCATTCTTATCATGGAATTTTGCATCACAGAAATATTTTCTAATTTCAAAAAAAAATTAAAAACGTGAATTCAAATAGCGTTCTTTTGAAAAAAGAATTCAATGTAATAGTAAAAGTAATAAAAATTAACCATTTTTTATGCATTTACATTCACTTTTATATATCATATTACAACATTAGCCGTGACACTCTCTTCCCAAGGGCCCTGTTACTTTCTCGCAGAAGCGAACGATTATATCACCTACATAGAATTTCTGTGAGGAACATTGGTAAAATAAAAGGCTCAGTTTGTTATTAAATTGATGGTTAAATGGAATCTTATCAATCTTCTGTCACGACAATAACCGTATTAACCAACAACACCAGTGTGCTGAAACAAAGATTTCTTTGACTCTATTTTATTTAACATAAAAAGTGGGAGTGTTGAGTACAAACGTAGTTTTTCATTTTCCATGACGTAAGATCATCATTCACTTAGTTTGAAACTGCCGATCTTTAGTGAAACTTTTTTGAAGCTAATTTATAGCAATTGCATGCAAGCTGTCGAAGCGAAATTGAATATTTTTAGTCTGTGAATCTTTACACAAGTCTCTTGATTAATCTAAACTGCAATTATTTAATCCAAAATATTTAAATGTGTATGAAAATATTTAAATTCACTTCTCGAGAATTTTTTTTGTGATACTCCAAAATGTAACACCAACAAAAATAGAGAGTAATTACTATTAATGTGCTATTATGATAGATTAAATTTATGTTTGTGTTTTGCTTGTAGAACTTCTTACTCTGTTTTCTTCAATATACAAAAGACACGTTGGATCAATAACACAGGCATGTGACGGTTTTATTGTCTTGAAATTTTTTACATGTTTTACTATAATTTCGGTACGCTGAATCCGAAAATGATGTCATTTTTCTCCATCATGTACAGATTTTTCACATGAAGGAGTATTGTTTTTAATTATTTAATTTAATTTGATTTAATTATGTTGATAGTTGCAAAACAGATAAAAACCAGTTGTATGATATAGAACTATTATTTTTAAATAATGCGTTGATTTTATTTTTTAAACAACTTTTAATTCTAACAACTTAAAGTGTTGGTTTTATAGAATTATTATTTTATTATTGTAACTGAAACCGAAAGAATTCGATCTTCTACTACAGTAGCATGCGCTGAACTAGTACTGAAAACGCATAGAAAGATAAGATCTGATCTCTGTAAGATTCGATGTTGTCAACCAAAGGTCATACACACCACAAGCTACAAATAATTTAATTCTAACTTAAAGTTTAACTTTGCTGAAACTATGGGAATAAGACTTTAATTAAAGGCTTCACTTTAATTAGTAACCTATAAATAGTTTAATTCAACTTTACCGAAGTGACAGGGGATATGGCTTTAAACAAACACCTTCAAGTTCGTAGGTAATTCAGCTTATCAAAATCAAAGTGGGCCAATAATAATAGACCACGTATAATTAAAGCTTTACGGACGCTTTATGCACATAGATTTCCCGTATCCTTTTACTTAGAAAGACTATTAATAACTTCTGATATAAGGTAAGCTAAATACGTAAATCATAATAAAAAGTGACTAATAGACTAATTACACAACTATATACAACAAACTTACTAAAAGTACATAATATTATAAATCAGTGCGAACCTTCGCTGACAACGGTATTTTCAGTCGTAACTCCAAATTAGGAGATTGGGTTAATTGTCAATAAATATACTAAACTAACAAAGCAGTATAGTCTTGATACGGGTTTGTTTGTTGTTAAGCACAAAGCTACACAATGGGCTATCTGCACTCTGCCCACCGTGGGTATCAGAACCAAATTTATAGCGTTATAAACCGTCAGACTTACCTTTGAAAACATTAATAATAATAGTGATAATAGCATTCAAAATTATTTTATGCTTTAAGAACAATAATATTAATGAAATTAACTTTAAAGAAAATTGTAGTATAAGTGAATATTGTTTATTATAGGACAAACTGTTATTCGCATGGTTACAACGCTTCATCAGGTATATCAACTTTTGACGGAGTATTTCTTTAAATTTTTTGAAAATAAAGTATGTTGGTACTTGAACTTAAGGTATTGATCAATGCATAGTAAACCTCGCGTTTGGTCTTCTGTTGTAACCCACCCAATCTAATCAACACTTACTATGTTTACTTAGCAGCTAACTTTTTATGTATTAGCCCTTCAGTCTGGTCAGAAGTTGTGTCAGTTTTGTTCCCTAATAAATCAGCGATAGGTTTACGTACCTACAACGCTAAATTCGGGGTTTGATCCCCGCGTTGGAAGGGGGTGCATGTAGCTCATTGTGTAGCTTTGCACTAAGAAAATAACAAGAACAACGCGTCAGTTTCTGTTTCTCACTAAGCTAATTTCTCCTGTTTCTCAAAAATATAAGTCATTAAAAGTAAAGGTTC